TAACCTGCAACCACGCGGGGTGGTGGACGCGGAGAAGTCTCGGGAGCAGCGACCGAGGGGCAAAGACTACTTGCTGAAGTAGTCTCGGAGCCTGAACCGATTGAAGTTCGCCGTCCGCGGGGGCCACCAAAGATAGAGCTGCAACCTGGTGCTGAGGAAAGGGAGAAGGCATCAGGATAAGGTATTTACAGAGTTTTAGAAAAGGAAAAGAATGGATCTTGAAGTGGCCCTAGAGTTATTGCAGTGCTTTTTAGAGAAGCGGGGAGTAGATAAAAATGTTATCAAAAATTTAGCAGGCTTGGTTTCGTTGGGACGTTCGCAAGGATGGTTTCGAGACCCTGATTTACTGTTTGAGGTGGATGAGTGGAGGAATTTAGGAGATTGGTTATGGGACAAAGTAATAGATGATGATAAGGGAGCTAAGAAATTGATGAGACCATGGCGTGAGGTCATCAGTACTATTAAACGATATCATAAAGAAAAAGATCTGGCCGCTATGGCGGTACGGTGGCTAGAAGGGGGGTTGCAGAAGCCAACAACCGGCCAACCGCCATTTACTATTTGGGAATGATCGGGCAGAGCTGCCTTGCTGGAAGCCGGTGGCGGTTCGCCAACGGCCCCAGGCTGATGAATTAAAGTCCCGTCTGTGATGTGAACCCTCAGCACCGCCCGCTGAGTTGATAACACAGCCATCCTCCGAGGCGGCTGGGTTATCAGTCGCTACAGACGTGAAAAAAGGAGAAGAAAAGAAAAAGGAAGGGAGCCCGCCCCTATACTCTGATAAAGGAGAAGTAGGGCCGGCGGTAAAGAAGAAACGGCCCGCTGTCCAAAGAGTAGATTGGGGGTCGATTGCAAGGGATGCAGCTGAAGCGGGGAATTATGACGTAGCGGAAAAATTGACACAGGGAGATTGTGCATTCCCAGTGTTGTTTGATCAGGACCAACAAGGGAATTGTCGGGGAACACATACCCCAGTAAATTGGAAGTTGCTATCGCACTTAAGAAATACGGTTAATGAATCAGGGCTGCACGGTGAGCCCACAAAGCAGCTGTTAAACTATATCTGGGGAGCTACAGTATTGTGTGCAGAAGATATCAAAGTAATTATGCGAATGATTATGACCCAATCACAGCTGCTGCTTTGGCAGGCTCATTGGCAACGATTGTGTGAGCAATCGGCGCAGGTACAGCGGGACCCACAAGATCCCCTGCACGCTGTTACCGTAGAACAATTAATGGGTACTGGCCCCTTTGTTACAGTCCAAATGCAAATGTATTTGGGACCGGAGCTTTGTGTGGAATCTATGCGACTGGCCCGGGAAGCAATAGCGGCGGTTAAGACCGCTCCCTCTGCTCCATCCTATATGTCAATCAAGCAGGGGAGAGAGGAGTCTTTTAACTCCTTCATAGACAGGGTCATGGCTGCTATTGATAGGGCAAATATACCTAGTTGGATGAAAGCTGCCTTGCTAAGGCAGTGTGTTTTAGAAAACACAAACTCTGCAACCAGGGCAATTATTTTGACCCGGCCTGCAGATGCGTCAGTTGAAGATATGTTAGAGCGGATGTCTCGGGTCCCTGTAGGGGCACAGGCTATGTTAGTAGAGGCTGTTCGAGATGTCGGTAGGGATTTAGTGCAGGCTCAGCAACAGGCATTTGCAGCTCTGGCTCCCCTGCGGCCGACTGAACGACCTCGGCAGCCTCCCCAGCAACTGACGGCTAGAGGAAATAAATGCTTCCGTTGTGGGCAAGAAGGACACATCCGAAGGCATTGTCAAGCAAACAATGTATGGTGTGATTCCTGTCGGAACGCGTCCCATAGCACAGCTGCTTGCAGTCGGTCGGGAAACGGTCGCCCGAGCGCGCCGAGCTGCCGCGCGACGACAACAGTAGTGGCCCCAGCACAAGAGCAGTGCCCTTGCAACCAGCCAGTACCCTCCAACCAGCCACAAGAGGGAGCCTCGGGTTGGACCTGGCAATAGAAGCTCCAACGACATTAATCGACCGTCGACCGCAACGAATCCCTACAACTACGCGTGGACCGATAATAATAAACGGCGAGCCACAAGGTGCCCTGCTCATCGGTCGCTCTTCTAGCGGATTGAAAGGACTTTGTGTACTACCTGGTGTCATCGATGCTGACTTTCAGGGACAAATTTTGATTATAGCACAAACAATGTTCCCGCCTCTCCACATACCGGCAGGAAGTAGAATAGCCCAATTGGTGCCCTTGCCACAACTCACTAAGGAAATGAAGCCTATATCAATCAAGGATAGAGGAGAAGAAGGCTTCGGCTCTACCGGAGGGTTTGCTATGTTGACTATGGCTATGAATCGTCGACCCATAACGGCTGTTACACTGATTTACGGACAAGATCGGATAACTATGGATATGTTACTGGACACGGGGGCGGATTTGACAATAGTCAATAAAAATCGCTGGCCTTCTCGGTGGCCTATGCAACCATCCTCCCGTGGGGTAGAGGGGGTTGGTGGTGCCATGGCAGTATGTCGTAGTCAACGCCCTGTGCGGATGGTAATAGACGGCCGCTCTGCGACTGTCACTGTCACGGTCATGGCACTACCCCCGGGAGTAAATGGATTAGTCGGGAGAGACGTCCTGGACCAATTGGGAGTAGTGCTTTCTACACAACTGCCTTTTTAGAGGCGGTCACTGCTTCATGGAAATTCCTGATTCCACTGCAGTGGATAACCGACAGGCCGGTGTGGATCGAGCAGTGGCCGCTGAAAAGGGAAAGTCTGTCGGCAGCACATGAACTGGTACAGGAACAATTTCGACAGGGACATCTGCAGTTGTCAACGAGCCCCTGGAACACCCCCATATTTGTGATCAAGAAAAAGTCAGGTAAAAATAGGCTGCTGCATGACCTTCGTGCAGTCAATGCACAAATGCAGCCCATGGGGGCACTGCAGCCTGGCCTGCCAAACCCAGCCATGCTACCGGAAAAATGGCATCTTCTTATTATAGATCTAAAGGACTGTTTTTATACTATCCGTTTACATCCTCAGGACAGTCAACGTTTTGCTTTTACTCTGCCATCTATTAACAAGGAGGCGCCCGCTCAGCGATTTGAGTGGGTAGTCCTTCCCCAAGGTATGAAGAATAGTCCCACACTCTGTCAACTATTCGTGGACGATGCCCTACGACCCGTTCGATCCGCCTGGGCCGATGCGATAATCTATCACTACATGGACGATATCCTGATTGCACAAGAGCTTCCCTTTACAATGTCGCAGCTGACGTTTTTGGACAAAACATTAAAGGAACGGGGTCTGGTGATCACCCAGGAGAAAATACAACAGAAACCACCCTGGCAGTACCTAGGGTGGCAAATCACAGACTCTCAGGTTCGCCCACAAAAGTTGGAGATTCATACAGCAATTCGGAC